AACCCTCATGAAATGCCTTTTCCGTATTGTCCACTTTGCTGAGCACACCTGCCATCTCTTCCTCGTTGTGAGCAACTGCCCAACCAACCATGACAGCTCCACACACTAGATGCTCTCCTGCCTGGAGTAGACAGGAGGTATTGGATCACCTGGCCAGTGGGGAGAAGAGGCTGTGCAAACACAGCTATGGCCCAGTTGTAGACATGTGGACATCTACGAAAAGATTGCACAAGGATTGCAGACAAAGGGGTATGATAGGGACCAGCAGCAATGCCATGTGAAAGCAAAGGAACTGTGACAGGCATACCACAAGGCCAGGAAGGCCAACAATCAATCTGGTGCTGAGCCACTGGCCTACCACTTTTACAATGAGCTGCATACCACACTTGGCGGAGACCCCACCAGCACCCCAAAACACTCTAGATACGTCCAAGGAGCCTGAGACACAGACCCCTGCTGTGAACAGCCAGGGGGAAGAGGAGGGACACAGCAGTGGGGGCATCCAGCTATGCCATGAGCCAGGAGCTTTTTGAGACTCCACCAGTCTAGTCAGTCCCACAAACCAAGTGCAGAAAAGCCCAATGCAGGGGAAGGAACTTCAGGTAAGTGTGCATGCATTTTTCTTCACAATGTTTAAATATAAAGATGATGCCCCGCCCAACCCCAAGTTAGCAGGAGTCAGGCATTGACTTTTCATTGGTTTACTTCTCCGAGAGGAGGTAGTGGTACAACAAACAGAGGTAGAGGTATCTCTTTTTCATTCCACGGTAGGGTTGGGTGGACGGGCATGCAGAGCAGCTTGTTTATGTCCATAGAGTGGTTCCTTGTATCCTCCTGAGAGATCTTGATGAAACTTTCATGGAGGTACTCTGCAACTCTCTCTTGAAGGCTTCTGGGGTGGGCTGCCTCATTTCATCTTCCACGATAGGACACTTTCCCATGCCATTCAACAATGACTTCAGTAGGCACTATAGCAGTAAACAGGCTAGCGGCATATGGGCCCAGACAGTTTTGGGACACCAGCAGCAACTGTGCTTTTGTTGCCCTCAGAAGTAAGATATCAGCTAAAATCACCACCGCCTGTGGAAAATAGTGCCACTATTCAGTGCCACTGCACTGTACTTATTCCCATGGAAATAGAGGCCAAATAGGCAACTGCTCCTTGAATGTCATCAACATCCTTGAATTGTTTTCGCTGTGTCCCACAACAAACTGTCCTCAAACCATCATATCCTCCATTGGTACGGTTCTTCCTGTGGCACTGCAAATATCAGAGGATTGTTTGTTCTGGGTTTGCAATGCTCATGAATGACAACAGAGCTCTTAGAGATGGTGAACAAGAAGTGGGATCTATTTAAAAGAGGCATGAAAATTATGGGAAATGTATAGCTTTATGGGATGTGGAAAGTTGCATGATGGGAACTTGAAACCCCCCCCCCCCCCACTTGCTCCAGTCACCCCTGCATGACTCATTTCTACCCCATCATGCATTGTCAAATTTTTCAAAAAGACAGTGCACTGGATGATGGTGAGTGGCACACTGGGATAGCTACCCATGATGTGCTGCACTGTGCACTGACATGCAGCCCTGGTGGAAGGAGTCAAGTATGCACTCACATGTGTAATATACTAACTGCAATGACTTTAGGCTGACACAACTTGCATCTACCAAAGTTTGTAGTGTAGACATGGTCCTAGTCTCTCTTAGTTGCGCCAGAGGACATGGCTCTCCCTGGCTGTCAGGCAGGCTCTGAAGTTTATGTATTTCCCACTCATAAGAGTAGTAACACTTTTGTTGTGAAGGCTGAAATGTGGGACAGAATCCACAATAACAGCTCAGTGAGTTGTAGCTTGAACCCCCCTTGCCCCCAAGCCATGACTGGGTCCAAAGTCTATGGCCGTAAGTGTTAAATCCCATGCTCTAAGAGGTGTAGCATCTTTCCTGGGCTCAGAAAGTGGAAGCATTTCCCACCGATGTTGAAGGCTCATTTCCCTGACCTCCAACTCACATTCGCAGTTTGCTCAGACCTTGTCTGCTGACATTGCTTCAGGCCAGTACCTATTCCAAGCTCTACGGTATAGTAAGGGCTTTTTTGGGTCATAGCTTGTAGCATAGGGTGTCTGTAATTGCTGTTGCTGGGTAGGGTGGAAGAAGAAAGACGTATGCTGGGGGGCGATTGCTCACTAGTAATTCTGTATATCCTACTCCGTCCCTTCTTCTCCCGTCCCATTCCCTCTCCCCTCTCCAGGCAGAATAACTTGACATTTCTCTCTGGCCTTAGTTTGCTTGGCCAGTCTTTAGTTGGAAGGGAGGTGGGAAGATTGGTACTTGTTCATTAGCTTTGACTGAGATTTTTGTCTCCTTGCAGGTGGAGCAACAGAATCATATTGTGAGTAATTACCCCACATATGCTCCTGTTCACCTGCCAGCCAAGGAGTAGGGGCGTGCACAGCAGCCACTCATGTGCAGAAAGACTCCACAGCCATCTGGTGCTTGGGTGTGGTGTACCATGGTGACGGTGTTTGCAGCTGGGTCAGGTACTCTGTAAAAATCATGGTGCGCCCCTGATATGGAGGTGGGGTGAGGGGCCCTGTCCATATGCTAGAAGACCAACCAACAAATTGTTGTTTCCTAAGACCGGGGGAATTGGGCTTCTCAGTTCCATTTGCAAATGTATGTAGAACATGTGTTGGTTTTTTGTAGTTCCTGTGCCACTTTATGTTCTCTAAATTTCTTTGCATAATACAAGTAACCTGTCTAAGCAAATGGTGCAGCTGTAACTTACTCAAAGCCTATGGGGGGGGAGGGTTAAAAAGTGCTTCAGTTATTTAGGAGCACAACTCGCAGTGAAAGTATGTATGCATTTTGACACTGGAATCTTAGGCAGGAACTCTTGAGCCAAGGCAGTACAGCACTGATAACCACAATGGCTAGATATACGTAAGCTCCCCCTTCCGCCCCCCCTGCTCTGCCAGCATATTGTGGGAGTCCCAGACATCATGAAAATACAGAAATAACAGCTCAAGAGACTAACTTACAAGATGGCATTAGTAGGGCCTGACGTTGTATGGAAGTTGTAAACCAAAAAAAGCCGTGTGTAGAAATGCTGACTGTAGTAGGGATGCTTAATCACATGGAATATGCATTATAAACCCTTTACCTAACTACATACCCCTGAAAAAAAAGAATTACACAAAATAATGTCAATTCTTTCCTTTATTTTCTTTCCATCAGTTCTTTCACTGGGAACTCAGAATAGCTTCAATCAAAGGTGTCTTAATTTACCTTTGTGATGCCAATTTTAGGATACCTGTCAAAACAGTAAATGGTTAGTGGAGCAGGAGGAGTGTGTGGTTCACTCCTGGATTTAACCTTCATTTTGAAATATTAGGTGGTGCCTCATTAATGAAAACCACACATAATTTGTCCACAGTTCCTTGACAGAGCCAGAATATTGGACACTAGTTTAAAAAAAAAAAGGTACAATATTTTGATTTTAGTCAATAATCACATAAGAGAAAACACATGAATGGAAACTCTTTTACATGAATTACACCTAGATGAAGTGTTGTCAACAAATGGAAACATGCAACTCATTAATGAGAGAGAGAGAGAGAGAGTGTTCTTACTGACACCATACCAAGGCAAAATTAATCAAGACTGAAATATATTGTGTTTGCATTCACCTTTAGGTCATGAAAAGTGATGTGGGATACCCAGAGTAGAATACTTAAAGAGTGCAATTAAATGCAGTCTGGCAATTTGCCTGTGATATAATAGAGACAATTTATAAATAGAATAATCCTGAGGTTGAATACAACGTTTACATTAGCTGTGATGTTTTTCCACATTAGATACATACAGAATTATTTTTTCAGTATACCATTTATTTATTATAATACACACAAGGAATTGGATGTGAGATGGTTTCTGAAAAAGGAATATGTAAAAACTTGTACAGAGAATTTTTGTGATAACTTCACACGTCTAATAATCGAATATCTGTGTATATTTAAATATTTATGCAAAACCTATATTCTGTTTAATACAGAGAAAAAAGGTCTAATTTGAATTCAGAAATGCAGTCAGACCACATCTACTCAAAAGTATAAATAGTTGGGACACAGGAATGTAAAAAAATATGATTTAGAAAAATCTTATGTGATTATAGAGAACAAATCCTGGTGCTGTTACAGAATTTCATTAGATTTTTAAAAAAAATTTAATTCAGAATTGACGTTTAAAGTGGTCTAGGTCTAGGAGTTGGCTGCACATAAAATAGTTCTTACTAGTAAGGACTCGTCTAATGAGAAGCCACATAATTAATCTAATTTCATATATTTTATCTGCATATTACACCCCTAGCTGTGTGTGTATTTTGTATATCGGATTGTTTGGGATAATGCATATTTTTTTGTGAGTGAAAAATGTATTTTTTAACATCATAAAAATTTTTAATTGAGCAACATTATGCCAAAGTGTCGCTAGAGAGAGCCTTTTATAATTTAAATCTAATGTAACCTATCTGGAGTTTGTACTTTTTAACTAAGAGTTCAGATGTTGAAAGAGCCTAGAAGTTATGGATTTTGTGTGAGCTGGTGCTGGCTTGGTAGAAAAGGTGAAAGCACATTTGATTTCAACATTCTTCTTAGAAAGCCTAGTGTCCTAATTTTCTTCTCAGCAAGTAAAATCATTGCTATGCTTATCAGCTTGAAGGCTGCAACTTTATTACTCTTGTTATTAACAAAAAATGTTTAGGGTAGGCCCTTTAAAAATCCCACACTCCTCCTCATGTCACAAGAAACTAACCGGCCAGGCTTCCCCCTCCCTCATTAAATTTTAAGGTGAAGGCTTTTCTCTACATCCACGGTAACTCTCAATAGAAAGCATTTTAACAGTGTGCACTAACAAACTTATACAACATATATATATAGAACGTTCTATATACAAACATATACAGTTTTTTAGATCTCTACAGACTACAAGAAAATTAATAATTATAGTCACAAAAGCTGAACATTACAGAAACAGGAATTTGTAACTTTCTGAAAAGATGTACAATATGCCATAGATGAAAGGAAGATACAGTTGTGACCTCCTGGGGAGTTTTTCTAGAGAAAAAGATGAAGGATTTAAACATTCAAAATTGTATGTTTGGGGAATCTAAATTCTTCTTCTTTTGTGAAGTAAAGAGGCAAATTGAAAGCTACTGGCTGGCTTTCCCACTGATACAGCGTGGTGTTAAGTTAGAGACTGTTGATAGAGCAAGTGTAATGTAAATGACCTACTGGAGGCACATTTCCCTCACGCAGGCTGTAGCTGTTCAAACTGATTTGTGCAACTGCTTCATGACAGAGTGAGCTCTAGCATCTGCCTAAGGAGGCTCCCATTTCATTCAGGATCAGAGGTCCCTGAACTGATGTTAGAGCAACACCTCTGCCTAAAAGCGGAATAGCAAGCCGAGAATTTCTATACACCACAGAACTAGTACCATCCTAATCACTCACCAAGCTTTCCACTAGTCTGCCCACACAGTTATGTGTGATACATCTATGGATACTGCAACATGTCATTGAATTGCAATGGAAACTCCCAGTGTAGCCAGTAGAGGAGGTGTACATGGCATCACACTTGAACCAGGAATATCCTTTTCATACCGGTTATATTAGTATAGAAACAGGTGCAGTAAGTTACAGAACGAACTCATGTGCCTGGTAGAATGATTTCCCTGCTGAATCTTTACCTGTTTGGTCTGAGCCTAATCCAGTGACCATTTAAATACCTTCTCTAGTCTTGCAGCTAAATTAGGGAACATATCCTCTCTAAGGTGTTTGTAAAGCTGAACTGCCCACAAGATTAGTGATTTAAACTAACTATAGGCCAGAGTACATGTAGAGTAAACATGCAATTCACACAGGGGCTGGATTAGCCCTAAGGCTATTTAGAGGCCTAGAACTGGACTATAATGGTCAAAGCTGTCATTTTAACCTTGCCCGCAGCAAAATTTAAACATTCTGAATAGCACAAAATTCATATTGAGCCATAACAGTGTAACCTTAATGACGCCTCAAACTTGTGCCATAGCCTTAATTCACACAGCTTGTGATGCCAGACTTCTGAGTCCAAAACCTATATCTAAAATTGAGCTGAATTAAATATACAATAGGTGTTTTTGCCAGTGAGCACCCACCCCCCACTAAAAACAGGGAAGATATGAGAAAGGAATAGCCGAGAGAGCGACTGAGTGAGAGTTAGCAGTGCTTTCCATGGAAATGCAGAATCCAGAGCAGTGTCTTGTGGTCCAGAGTGTGCATTAAACTGTCATGATACAAACGTAGGAAGTTAAAGCAAATCTGATGGCCATGGCTATTTGGGAGGTCACTAGCTGCAGCTGCTTTCTCAGACCATTTTCCTTCAGTGAATTCTCCTGATACAAAGTGTCTCCGTCTCTCTCTCTCCCTAGTTTGTACTTGTGCATACTTGCTGGCAAACATGACCTTGGCACCTTGTTCCCAAGTCAATTTTAGAATCCATCTGACTTCACAGTTGGTTACTTTGGAAATTATGCTGATGCAGAGGAGTAAAACTGAGCTGGGGAAGGAAATTGACTGTTATGTAATGTGAATGCTGTTCAGGCAAATACATCATGATAAACTGTTGTGGAAAAGAATCTGACAGTATCTGCAAAATGAAGAAAATTAAAAGCCCATAATGGAAACCACATAAAGCCCCGTGGCAGCAGTTGAGGTCTGGCAGCAGCTTTACTGATATGAACAGCCTATTTCACCAGTACCTTGCACCTTGTGTGGGCATTTACACTTGTGCAAAGTAGATATAATGTGCTCCTGAATTCTCCACTCACTCATCTCTGTGGCAGTGTTTTGCACAGGTTGTAAGTGGTAATACACCAGGCAAGACAGTGGAGAAACTGGTCTATATAAAATTACATCTGCTGGGCTTTGCAGCTCAAACCTGTTGCTGGTGTGATCTTCAGCCAGCCAGCTTTAAATTGGGTTACTGTGCAATTTGCTTAGCATCACTTCAGTGCAACTCTTTCCTGCAAGCTGCTGAAGTCACTGACTTGAGGGGATTTACCAGCTTGATCCACTGGGCCCTCTACTTTCTTCAGTTTAATTCAATAAATTACTGACTCACCTTCTCTTCAGCTTCTAATATTGAAAAAACAAGGCAACCAAGTGATGCAGACACTTCTGGGGTGACAAATGTTATCACAGCCCCTTCAAAGGATGCTTTCAGAAAATTAGTATTTATGGAAGGTGTTTCCTGCACTCTTTGGATTGTAAAGACACCCTCTACTCTCACTTAGGTGACATCCCAACTGGCTCCTTCACAAACACTAAATAAAGCATTTGGATTGGATTTGGATGTTAGTTTATTCTTTGGATAGGAATTAAATAGCACTGATGATTTCAACCTAAGATTTTATAAGGAAAAGAACTAGCAGCAAATAAGAAAATGCAGCTCATCTAATTTTTCTGTCCAGAGTAGCAGCAGCCATGCTTGAAATGTACTGGCTGTTTGTAGTGTAGTTTTTAAAAATAAAGATTTTTGCTGTTTTTAAATATTTTTTGCTCAGCATAGAAATAAATCCCTTTTTCTTCGGTCACAACATGCTTTCTTTTTAAGATGTCAATTGGTCATGCAAAATTGTATTCATTTTTTTTAATAAGTGCATTAACATTCTAGGTTTGTACAGGATATTTTTAACCAGAGACACTCTCCACAGTTCATTCCTAGAGCTTCTGAAAAAAGCTACATGCCAATGTGACTGTTCAGTTGCTTTTGGAAAAAGATTTACTACACCATAAGCCAGGTATTTTGACTAAAAGACCAGTACAAGTCTAGGCTCCATTTTGTGGGATATAAAACTTCTCCTTGACTTCCCGCTTGTGGTGAATCCAAACAAATAACAGGAAAACATTTCCTAGGAGAAAGTTTTGTTTCTGGCCAGTGATTGGTAGTGTTGGGAATAAGTTCCGCTTCCCTGAATAGTGTTCTCATCAAAGCCAAGCAGCTTCTTTAGAAGTCTAAAACTGGTACCATTTCTTGTCCTTATATTTCAGCATCAACTACAGAGATGGGAAATAAGCAAAATGAAAATTAGATACAAAAATCTGGTTTGCTAATGGTAAAGACTTGTGCTAAGTTAGTATGTGGTAGAACTCCACTGAACTAGTGGTACCACAAATGAAGTAGGTCCATTCATTGTCATGGACTTCATAATCAAGTAGAAAATTTGGAGCAAACAAATAGCAGCAGGTTGTTCTTTGCCAAACGTCATTTCCCTTTGCTGCTGTGAAATACTTTTTTTTTGGGGGGGGGGGGGGGGGGCGCGGAGGCTTTCTCTAACTTCATAATTAAGTATTAAACCTCCACAAAGAACATTATTTACCCATAGCTCTTGTTCACTGAAGAGACGCTTCTCAGGGAATTCCTACTTTAGCACACTGCTTTTTGCATAAGGTGAAGTAGGAACTGCCATATATTAGGGTACACTAGGTGCCTCGCCTCCAGAATACCATCTGTCCGTACACATCTCTTTGAGAGCATTTTTTTGCCTCGCACTTATAATAGCCAATAACATTCTCCCTGGGGCATGAGGTAGGTGGTAATCCAGCTGTACAGATATCTGGAAAACTGGAATTACAGGTAAATATTCCTTAATGTACTACTACTACTTTTCAGTTGATTCCCCCTCTTAGGACTATACCATAGGGTGACATCATTTCAGTTTTACAGAGCAAATGTCTCCATGCTAAGCAGCCTATTTAGAGCAAACCAGTTTAGCATAACACACTATGGTCATGCCTCCAGTTTCTTGTGCCCTGTAGTGCCCCACTTGTTCCCTTGCATCCAGATGTACACCTGTGACCCACCCTAGTTTCCCCCTCCTTGTTCAGCACATCTTGTGCAACTAGTGGGTTTTTAAAAGAAGCAGGATTAATGGTAATATTTCTCCTGTTATTGTTCATAACAGAATATTTGACAGGAGGGATAGGCACATAAAATCTTCAAAGCAATGAATGAATATTGCCCTTATCTCCCATTGTTCCCAAAGGGACTGAGGCCTGATTTCAGGAACAACACTGACACGTCAATGAATGGATGCAATGGTCATCTTAACTGGCGGAACATAGTACTCTCCCTCCCACTGACACCAATGGGAGATGGCAGCAGTTTTGAAAGACAGATGTTTATGAAGAAAACATTGCAGGAAACTCAGGCATTGGTGGCACCTTGGGGCTCCCCTGTTTTCTCTCCATGGCGCACAGTTTTGTTTCCTGAGGACTGAACTTTTTTGGTCTAACTGAAGTCTTTAGGCTTAATATAGGGATACCCAGATGAAATGTAATGGCCTGTGATACACAGGAGGGCAGACTAGATGATCTGATCATCCATTTTGGCTTTAAATGCTATGAAAATCTGGAGTAAGTGTAACCAAAGTAGATGGCTCCCTGAGTTTGCAGAGAGCCCGAAACAGCAGCTCTGAAGTGGAAAACTACCCCATTTATTTCAGTGGGTGCAGATGTGAATGACAATACTTTCTCTCCTTTCTTACATGCTTGATAAACAGTAAAGTGTCATATAATGACAATCTATACCAGGGTTCCCCAATGTGTGGGGAAGGGTGCTGTATAAATGAAGGTAACAACACTTGGGGGACTGTGCTTTGTTCAATTTTCCTGAAGGAGGTTCAGCTTTCTTAACTTTGGGTAACCCTGGGTAGGGCAAACTCTCTCCATGGGTACGTGCAAAGAACCCATACCTCATGTGCATGTTTGGAAAATGCCTCTGCACTAGCCATCATGCTTGCAGTCTTTTCATCCAGTTCTCCCAGTCTCTGTCCTCTCTCATCAAGGGCGAGGCGCGCACGAGCCAAGTCTCCGATTACCCCTCCTGCAGCTCCTTTCATACCCTCAATTCCACCTGAGCCAGGGATGTGCTGAGCCAGACTCCGAGAGGCTTTTCCTGCTGAAGCCTCGCCAACTACACAGGGAAAGTGGAGTTAGCTCATTCCCCCATCAATACCTGGAGAGTTCATTGCTAGTTCCTCACTCCCTTGCTGTTATTTGGAGTGTACTGTGGCACACAGACTGCCTCAAGCTACCCAGGCAGGTTTGATACTAGTGCCATCTCGAACCTGTTCTTCAGTAACTGCAGTGATGGGGCCTATTTTATTGTTCACTTGCTCTTACTGGGAAGAAAGAAAACATTTTGGGTAGATAGAAACAAGGCTCTGAAAGATCAAGCTCTTGCTCCTTCTAGTAGCTTGTGGGACAAATTCTCTGTTATGTTTAACATTTTTAACATCCCTTCTTTCCTAGATTACGTGTCCTGTTCTTGTATCGGTTTAACTGTTTGTCTTCTGTTAGTTTCAGTTATAATCACTTACACAGCTCTTCTCTGTCAAAGGTCTGCCCGCTTCCTCCAAACAGCCCCTTGAGAAAGCCTCTGTTCTGGGCTTCTGGTGTTTCCACTGGGGTAAACAAATCCCCAAGCATGTCCTGGCCAAAATCAGACAGAAGAACACATGAGGGAACTAGAGCGATGAAGATTGCCATTTACTTTAAATAGAGAGTCATTGACATCAGATGTTTGGCAAATAAAAGATGAATTCTGATCTATGCCACATGTTGTATTGCAAGACCAGGTCTAGAAGGGACAACATTTGACTGTCAGTTTGTCTGCAACATCAATTCTTTAAAAAAAATTCTCATACTATGAAAAACACAGCATTAAGCATTTGATGTCTGGTTACTATGAGAGCTGGGTCAATAGTGCAGATAAAATGTCCAACCAAAGCCACTCACATTTAAAAAAAAAATTAATTTGTATTCATTCCCCTGGTGGGTTCATATTTTATGACTTGTGGAGAGCAAATTATGCAACGAAGCCACAACATAAAAATGTTGATTAAAATCAAGAAATCACAATCAGCTGGTGATTATCCAGGCAACCAGACCATCAATACTTCGCAAAAAGAAAACAATAAAGATGAGTTTAGTGCTTGCTGACAGGAAGCAATTTTTACAAAAGGCCATTGGCTTCCCTCCAAGAGCTCATCGCTGGATGCTAGCTGTGCCTACCTCCCACTTAATTTTACTATTTACACAGCACCAATCGTGCACGAGACATTTACAGACACAGCTGAAGGCATGGTCTCTGCCCCCAGAGAGCTTACACCTGTATCCTTCAAACCAATGGTTCTTTAGAAACAAATCTAGCTATCAAAGTTATTTGCAGTCTGCTAGGGTAACTTCTTATGTAGCAACCATTTGTGGGGAGATGGCTTCAGCACATTAATACTACTGCTCTGCCAGCTGGTAGGTCAGGGTGGGTGAAACCATGGCTCTCTGCCAATGCTCCTCCCACTTGCTTTTTGGGGGGAGGGGGATACTGGGTGTATAAAGCCCTTGCTCTTCCTCTCTGTGCAGAAGCTGTGATGTGAGCAGCTGGAGTGTGGCAGTGTTGGGAGGTAAGAGCCTTTTATTCCCTTACTTGGGCTAACACAAATCTAGCCCATCCCCTAGTTTTAAACCCTTCTTCAGTGATGTATTTAGAGTCCCGCCAATAATTTGTAAACAGTCGCTTCAACTCCTCCTCTCCAGTGAGCCCAAGCCTGGCTGCAGCACTCATTCCTCATAACAATTCTTCAGTGCTGAAAATGCCAGCATTGTGATGACTTCTGCTGCTCAACACATTGCCATGGTCTAACGACAGCTGGCAATACCATGTCTTTTGTTGGGCATCCTGGTTCTCTGCTCATTATACAACCTCAAGCTTATTTCCCATTTTTACTGCTAATGATCCTTCCCCAATAACCCCCCACAATTAACTTCCTTCAGTAAATGACATTTAGAGTGTAAAAAAACCTCACATAATGAACTAGCTTTTGCTTGGAATAAATGACTTTCCTTAGACCATCTCCATAGCTGCTGTATTTGAATGTATAGTACAATGTGAGAACCTTTTCCCACCTGCAAAGAAGGGCTGTATCAGTTACTGTAGTGGAAAATACTGTAAGTAATTCAAAAGTATGTCTTAATCACTAATAGATTTTTTGGAGACTTTTAATGGTTTATATCCAACTCAGAACGCCTGCCCTTCTAGCCTACTGACTGAATGCTGAAGAAGCTGTATTAATGTGGAGAGTGTGGCCTGTGTTTACTTTTAGAATAAAATAAGCAATACTAAAGTTAGGGAAGGAACAGTCGTTGTGCTGATACACTTTCCCTTCAGTTAGAGCCATGCTGGTATCGAGTGCCATACATTTTGAAGTAGTCACTCATAACATTTTGAAACCGTTCCTCTTTCAACCAAAGCAGCACATTAGGACTTTGCTCTACTTTGTTAGGGCGAGTGCCAACCTGCTTCAACTCTGGATCAACTTAGTAGTAACCAGAAGTTGCTACCGTTAATGTCAGTTTGTGGACTTAGTCCAGGCGCTAGGGGACAGGAGCTACTCCACAGGGGCCATGGACCAAAAGTACTGTTGACCTCCTCTGTGTCCCAATGAGGTGGTTCCTGCAGGGCAAGCATAAGGTGTACTTGGGGTGTGTGGTGTGCACGTAGGAAGTGTGGCCTGCTGCTGCCCATGTTGTCCTCTGCTATGAATAAATAGGGAACTTCCATCTATAGGTGTGTCAAGCTAGCACTGGTTTCACTATAAAAAATAAAAGCAAGCAATTGTCTTTTCATGGACGTTTCACACTAAATCATATCTTACATTAAAGCTAATGCCTGGCACATCTGCTGGCAATAATGTTACAATCCAACTTCTTACCATTTTTAATCATTTAAAACTTTAACTTTTAATTAAATTTAAATTTAATTAAACTTAGGAGAGTAAAAAGTGTCATTACCTTGAGAAACCTACAAGTAAAACATACTGTTCCAGATAAATTGACCATTTACAAATACATCATTTGCTCTTTGGGAACAAATGTTTTAGAAGCATCTTGTTTCCCCCATCTTTAGCTGATAAAATTTTGGGTTAGTGTTTTGCATTCTTTCATAGACTTAACACAAGGAACGTGCATATTCAGGGATCAGAGCATTAGACAGTGACATTAAGCATTTCTTTTTCCATTTTACTCTTTCCAAATGTAGGAGCTTTTCTCTTGAGAAAATTGGTTCTCTCTGGAAATGTTGATGCAAATTGACATATGTTCCATGCATGACACTGCAGATGTTACAAAAAATCTGGGCAATCTTTGCGCTGTTATTTGGAGTTTCAGGTTCCAAATTAAAAATAAGAATGAATTGGATTGAATGAAAATTATCTGAAAAAGGAACAGGTTGCACTAGACTTTAAACCAGAGGACGTGGTGTTAACAGCCGAAAGCCTGAGAATGGTGTAAGCCACTGTGATCAAGGCAGTGGTGGGAGGGCTCTGTTGAGATGCCTCTGGCTGGCTCAGAAGTGCTGCAAACACGTACAGCCCTCCTCTGTAGGAAGCACAGATCTGACAATGGGAGCCCATTAGTGCTTCAAAGATTTCTCCACAATAAGAAAGCCAAGCAGCATGTGTGCTTTCTACGTTTACAAGCCCTACCTGTAGATTGTCACACATCTCCTGGCTGTATGTCAGTCGCTGGATCTCCGTGGGAGAGCTGAGATACAAAGCTTGCCCTTCATTGGTGAAACAAAATGTCCGTGCTATCCTCATGTCTGTTACTGGCAAATAGTTGACATCCAGCATTGGGCGAAGGCTGGGCAAGCTGAAGGGAAGCAGATGCCTGTGTTATGTTGGGATTTACAGAAAATGCTTTTATTCTATCACGTGATTCAAACCCACAGGTAACTTAGTATTTTCCATATATAGACTAGAATGCTGTGGTATTTAAAATGCAGTCCTACTCTTAAATGTGCTACTGTAAAAATGGCACCTTTCTACGTCACAGATCTGTTCCCTCTGTGTATTGGTCTCAAAGCAAATTTCAGTGACCAAAATAGGTTGTTAGGGCTAGCTCCACAAAAGGACTTAGACACCAAGCTGCATGTAAGACACCTAAGTCCTCCACTGAGGTGCCACTCAGAGTCTCAAAACCCTGCTCAGCTGCCACCTAACCCTGGAGTAGCCTAAAGTCCCCATGGCAAAAAAAGCCCATAGAATGTGTAGCTTGTGGTTTTCAAAGGTTAGAGTTTGGTTAAATCCAATCCAATGTTGGGTAGAACTCTCAAAGACGCTGCTGCTGAATGAGGACTGCTTTAATGCCACTTTTCAACATTCTACCTTAGCAATTTTGATTGAGGAGTGTGGGGAAATAGAGCAGGGGGGCCTTCTTTTTAATAGTCAGAGCTGTGAATCTGAAGGCCCCTAAATAAACCCTCCAACAGAGATCTGTCATGCTAGCTGCCCTTGCACAAAGCAGTGCAGGCCACGGCCTGAACTAGACTAAACTGCACAGTTTTCTGCCAAACTCGGTCAAGGGTCATG